AAATAAAAAGACGTGCATCATCCCGGACATAATGCAACACCACATGCGAAATTACACAGAAATGCGACGTACGGAAGAATGCGTTTTGGCTGCGAACATCTTCCAAAAAACTTGGCATCTCTTAACCATGGGCAAAAACATCTGGAACCACTTATAAAAACCACCCCGTATCTGCATGAACTTTTTTGAACCCCACTGCTATTCCAAACAACGCGTTTTTCTGGACCATTCCAATTCGCCTCGTAATTGTAGGGGTGCGTCTGCGATATTACATTGACCGCGAAAGCAGCAACGGCAAAAATACACATTCGTGCATCAACACGGGCATGCCCGCAGACGGCGTATAAAATTGCGTGCCGATTACACAAAGAGAACCCAGTGTTTTGACTGCGAACATGAAAAATCAGCCGATTACAACACTCCGTCCGGAGGTCCTGACCTCCTTCACGGAGTAATAATCTTTGTATTGTTCGCGAACCTTGCTTTAAGCTGTGAGATCGGTGCAAATTACGTTAACTTAATACCCCAGCTTGACGTCAATTGCAAAAGAAAGGTAAAAGCTGAAAATGGCATTTTGGAAATGTTTCAAGATATGTAATTACGGAAAACTTTTAACTTGTAGTCAAACATTGTTAGGGTAATTACTTCCGACGGCCTGTTTATCACCTGTTTGACTCTCAATCAGTAACAACATTGTGCTTGTGTACAATGTTCATAATAAATCGGTTATCATTTTACTCATGACTGTTATTTTATTCTTTAGTTTCACTTTACTTGCACTTGGATGGTTTCACTTTCTGTTTATAATGTTTATAGTGTGTTCATTTTTGATAATTATGATTATTGTCTTCGTCAGAAAGACTATGAAATTTAGCGGAATAACTCTTGAAGGCATGATTCGACGTCCATGATTTTTGGCGGGCAGATTACCGTTGTTGAGGCCAAAGGACTTTTTTGTGTTTTGGCTTGTGAGCAAAATAACTCGAATATATTTACACAGGAGCTGTCCTATAAATACTGTGGGGGGGGGGGTGAGGAAAAGTTGGACATGCGTCAGGCAGGTCATTCCCTAAATTGTAAGGCCAGACTTTTTACGGATGACGTCCACTGGAGACCTTGAATTTATTGCAAAAGCGCGATAAAATACATGAAGGCCAAAAAAAAAAAACTGATTAACATGCATAGATTTGGAACATACTAACTGTGGAAATACAAAGGTTAGGACGCAAATTGAATAAAAGAACATAGTGTAACAACAAACGAAAACAGCAACAAATCTCCCCCTGTTCTGATTCTTTCCTTTTATCCCATCTTCTCATTATATTTTGCGACACTGTCGTAGAATTAAAAAAGGGGAAAAAGGAGTACAGAGATTCTTTTGTACTCTAGACCAACTTGATTTCTCATTAAAAAACGTTCCTTAATCTAGAACAATGTCCCTCTGACGAAGGCATGAGATCTCCGACCTCTAGTTTTGTGTAAAAATGAAACAAAACAAAAAGTTAAACCCGTTTTCACCGTAGGCTCCTTCAGAATACTCCGTCGGAAATAAGTGTGGGAAGGCTGGTTAACAGGGCATACAAGTTAAGTTACTACGTTCTTCGCACAAAGACGTACACACAGTACACGTGTGCATGAGTTGCAATGAGGTCTGTAAGTTGTATTTTTCAGCACTGTGATTGCCTAATGAACGGGGTTAGAAAATTCCTGCACGAACATTTTAATCAGATAAGATTGTCGAAGATCAACCAAACGTACAGGATTGTCCTCCATCGATATCAGAGTGTTACTATAACGCGACCTGTCTTCTTTTTTTCTTTTTCTTTTTTGGTTTTTTAACTTACCGTTTTGTGAAGACCTTACACGGTTAAAAAAAATACAGAGTCGCATTCAGCTTAATAAAGCCAGGTACTTCATCGGGAAACACACTGTCCGGAATACGCAAACGTCCAACTTCTAGTCATCCAATCTATACGGTCTAATAGATCAAATGAAACAAGAGTTCCGAGATCTCATACCTCCATGAAATATGGGCTTGATATGTAAATGTAAATTTCTTTCTCAATTATGCAAATGACCTCTGCATTAACATAATAGATGCATCATGATGTTAACTTTTGATTAACTTACACATGTTCCAAGTATGAAATTCCCATCATCTATTTAATTTTTATCCAATAGTGTAGATCTCTGTATAAGCTACCCACATACCAAAAATCATAAAAATACATTGTTCCTTTGTGAATTTATCTGCTATGAAAGGTGTTTCACTAGAAACCCGCCTGCAGTTCCAGAACAAGCTGCTAGGGGGACAAAACCCTCACCACATACCAAATATCATTACAATCCATCCAAAGGTTCAAAAGCTATGCTGGTCGCAAATGTCCGGAAACACACAGACAGACACACAGACAGACAGGCCAAAAACAATACCTCCATTTTTCATGGAGGTAATAAAATCGAAAGAGCGTTGCACGAGCTCGTAACTTCGCCAAATGATGTTAACCTTTACGTCTGACAAATTGTAAATGTTTGCCGTCGAAGCTTCGCGTGAAGGCACGGTCCGACACGGCATAGCCTGGATACCAGACTGTTTCCCGGTCCTACACTGGTCAGTTCCTCGGCTCCAGGGTCAACATGCCCCTCAAGGAAATCTAGCCAGACAGTATTCATGTGCAAGGGAGTTACGGTGTAATAAAGATACCAGTACAAAAAGAGAGCCGAATAAAAACGCCTAAAACACGCCCAAAATAAGTCGAAGCCTTCACCTCAGCTATGAAAAGTAGAGAAACACTATTTGCCTAGCTCAGGTGCCATCCTTTTTATGCCGAAGGGTAAACGGAACATTTCCTGTAACTTTCTGGAACTCACAAGTTATAATGGTGAGTTCTTCCCCAGTTTGCTAAAAAAAAAACCGGAACATTTCCTGTAACTTTCTGTAACTTACAAGTTATAATGGAGAGTTCTCCCCCCAGTTTGCTTTAAAAAAACGGAACATTTCCTGTAACTTTCTGCACCTTACAAGTTATAATGGAGAGTTCTCCCCCCAGTTTGCTTAAAAAAACGGAACATTTCCTGTAACTTTCTGAAACTTACAAGTTATAATGGAGAGTTCTCCCCCAGTTTGTTTAAAAACCCGGAACATTTCCTGTAACTTTAATTTCTGGAACTTACAAGTTATAATGAAGAGTCTCCCCCAGTTTGCTTTTAAAAAAAGGAACATTTCCTGTAACTTTAATTTCTGGAACTTACAAGTTATAATGGAGAGTTCTCCCTCAGTTTGCTTTTAAAAAAAGGAACATTTCCTGTAACTTTCTGGAACATACAAGTTATAATGAAGAGTTCTCCCCGAGTTTGCTTAAAGAAACCGGAACATTTCCTGTAACTTTCTGGAATTTAGAAGTTATAATGGAGAGTTCTCCCCCAATTTGCTTAAAAAAAGGAACATTTCCTGTAACTTTCTGTAACTTACAAGTTATAATGGAGAGTTCTCCCCCAGTTTGCTCAAAGAGCGCGCAGAGAAACAGTAAACATGCCGCGTGTTTTCTAAGTACAAAGCCGTAGAAAATACAAGAAAACGATTGCTGTATTTGTTTTTACACTTAAAAGTGTACAGATACGTTGTAATGAGTATGTAGTATCTACTGTATATATATATATAAAAGCTAAACGGGGACGTCTCCATCCGTTATATATATAAGTCGAGAGCGTAGAGAATTATCAAACATGCCACAAGGCATAAAATTGCTGTATTTTGTTTGTCCGATCACGAGGTGTTAAAAACGTTTCATGTAATTTCAATAGGCAAAAATTTTATACGATACTTGGGGATGCGCACACACACACTGAGCGCCTTTCCACTAAGAAATCTGAAGACCGCACTCACCGGTTGATACCAGGCAAACCAGAACGGAGACAGTGTACAACCGGTGGAGCTTACAGCGCACGGTGACTTCCCGGGCGGTTTCCATAGGTTTGGTGCTCAGATTAACGACTTTTTAAAACGTGTGGATGTCGAGTAACAGTACGACCGGGCGACAGCCAGTGGTAGCTTTAACTGGTGTTATTCAGGTTCGAGTAAACTAATTAAACCAAGCTACTTCCTTGTGCGTCACGGTGGAAACTGTCATTGTTCATTTTCAGTCGGCGTTACTCGTACCTTACAAGCGCATGCATGGTTGAAGCTAAGAAGCGTTCTTCTCATATAAGTCCCGGCCGAACGGCCAAGTGTTTGCCGAACTTTCTGCATGAGTGTTAACCAGATATGTTGTTCCTCCTTCCTGTCCGTGCCTTTCACGTGGGTTTTGGATAACTGTCGGTATTGACGGTGTTTTCGACCAGACTCTCTGAATCTTATGTCCCGCACCAACTCGAGAAAAAACACCTGTGCTCGTGTTGATGTTGCTGTTTTCCCCAACCTTTCGTTGGGGAAAACAGAAAAAAAAACTCTCACGCCTACTGTGAATATCGAGTTTTTTTTGCGAAGTGATTCTGTACATACATTATTTGTCCACTGGCTCACAGGCATGTATATATCAGAAAACTGAATGAAGAAAATGAGATAGCCTTTTCTAGGACCTTCTTGGGACTATCGACCTAACTTCCTGTCAATTACTTTGTATTTGTCTGACGTGCCTAGCACGATAAAGTAATTAGGGAAACACAAGTGACAACCAAACACAAACATGCAGACACGCTGAAAAAGTTACTGTGTGCACGGAGGGAATAAATGGTACCAAGGACAGCATGAAATACCACCATGTTGTGGACAGGTCGCTGCCTTCATTCAGTTTTAATTTTAAGCCATGTCTGTCTGTCTTAATATTAGCATTCTTGACATTAAGGTTGTAACTTAGCATCAATACAAAAAGTCCATTTTCTGCTCAATGGCTTTTTACAAAGTACCATTCTGGAAACGTCAAATATGACATCGTAAATTATGACTGTGTTGAAAATCTGGAAACAAAGCTGTTGACCATGTTTTTAAATTCTGGTAGTTTGTGGTGGCACCATAATTAAACCGAGTGCGCCTAGTCTGGGCTGTTTTACATGTAGTGCCAATCATAAGTGTCAGAAATGTAAGGTAATAGCACAAATATGCTGAAAAGTGGAAGTAAATTACCATCACACGACATATTTCTCAAAATAAAATATCTAAATTTTTCAGATGTTGCATATAATGCCCCTTTAAACTTACGAGTGTCGCAGCAGGTACCCCGGAAGTCTAGTGGACACCGACACGAGGAAGTCAGAAGCGTCCCCCCGTTGTGACAGAACCGGTTACAGGGTTGAGTTTGTGGGCCCGGGGCTCCACAGCCGCTAGCTGTGCGCGTCTGCGTGCCGGAGGGTCCACACGGGGCGCTACAGGCGCTCCAACTGTTCCAGTGCCAACTGCACACTGCATGAAAAACGATATTTAAGCATGCTTAATGGTGTTCAACGTTGAGTCTTTATTTCATAAATTTCAACACAGATGAACTTTGATGCTAAGAATATCACCTATTAAGTCATGGAATACTTGACCCCAGTCCATTCAGGATCCAGCTTTATCGAGCCCCGGGGCAAATTCTACCAACCATGTTATTATCGTTCACACAGTCATTAAAGTCAATATATACTCACGAGTCTCGCAGCAGGTACCCCGGAACCCTAGTGGACACCGACACGAGGAAGTCAGAAGCGTCCCACCGTTGTGACAGAACCGGTTACAGGTGCGAGTTTGCGGGCCCGGGGCTCCACAGCCGCTAGCTGTGCGCGTCTGCGTGCCGGAGGGTCCACATGGGGCGCTACAGGCGCTCCAACTGTTCCAGTGCCAAACGCAACTTCGACGACGTCGCCATGACAGAGCCTCGTGGTTCGTTAACAGGGCGACAAGAGCCCCCAGGAGAAGGACTTGGGCCTTTAGCATCTCTGATGTGAACGCACTTTTGAAATATTCACAGATGTGAGGCTGTCCAATGTTATACAAGCATTAAAGGCAAGGGCTTTAAAAGTCTGTATGGAAACTACGGCATATCTGTGCCATGTACGACATACTGAAATAGCTCAATTAGTGAGCACCACATCGTGCATTATCTGTTTGCCTTGCCGTAACTAACGTGTTGACTCAGTCACGTGCGTGACGTTGACAAGTGCTCTCGCCATTTCCTTAGCCTCTACCAGGCTTCGGGAGGCGGCTGGAAAGAGTAGAAATCGGCCAAATAGAGAGATAACGTGCCAGGGGAGTTTATCTGCTGGGAGAGAACAGCTTGCCGCTCCCAGCAGCTAAACTCCCCCGGCATGTTATCTCTCTATTTGGCCGATTTCTACTCTTTCCAGCCGCCTCCCGAAGCCTAATAGAGGCTACCATTTCCTCGTCAAGCGTCCTGCTCCCTTTCTTTGGATTTTGGGGCGCCTTTTGAATATTTATGTCGAGCCGCCAGAACGGGCCAGAACGCATCGTGACGTATTATGTCAAATCAAGGACGTTTTACAAGTAAACCGTCCCTAGTCAAATGAAGGAAAGTTAAAAAGCTTATGCAGCACAGAAACCTGCACCACCGTTCAATCATGTTTCAAGTGATGTAACGTTAGCACTCGACACGTGAGGGCGGGTAGTTTTTGCGGAGTGTATCTTGATCCTGAAAAAAAGACTCGCAAATACTGCGTGTTTCCTATTCGTCAGAATGGACGGGTAATAGAGCGTTAACAACGGTTTTAACATATGAACACTGCTTTATATTACGCCTGGATGCATCATTGAAATGACAGGAGAAGAAGGAGGAGGAGAAACGTGAGCAGAAACAATATGACCACTAGGTGATGAAGTCATAAAAACAACATGACTTCACCGCATAGTGGTGAAGCCATAAAAACTAGAAAGGCCAATATTTGCAAATACAGCGATGGGTTCACCACATTTTACGACATGGCAGGGAAAGAATGAGAAACACAAGGGAAAACAGTGATTTACATTGATATAACTATAATATGAAGTAAAATGCAACTAAAACTAGAAAGGCCAATATTTGCTTTGGAGCAAATACAGCGATGGGTTCACCACATTTTACGACATGGCAGGGAAAGAATGAGAAACACAAGGGAAAACAATGATTTACATTGATATAACTATAATATAAAGTAAAATACAACTAAAACAACAGTTGGATAGCTATTCCCAACTTTATTGGTTAGGATTTTTAATTGCATAATGCAAACTGTTGATTTTCAAAATAAAAAAAAAACGTCCATGCCCCGCATTCCAATGCTGGAGCAGGAAAGCTTGAAATACCTACCAAAACACTTGAATACAGACATACTGTCAGTATGGAAATGCTCTGTGCAGGTGTTAATCAAGTTAAATCCCAACAGCCAATCAGCAAGAAATGCTCTGTGCAGGTGGAAATGCTCTGTGCAGGTGTTGATCAAGTTAAATCCCAACAGCCAATCAGCAAGAAGAATAGAGGAAAGCTGCATGCCTATTGGTTGATGCCCTGCATTCCATTGTGATGACTCATGCCCAAACGTGGTAAACAAGGCACACTAACACAGTAATACATTTGCTATAACACAGCCAAAAAACTCAAATAATACCATTCTAAAAGCCTGTATCACAATAATTTAAAAAACGCCTAGGTGTATTTGCCCACTGTACCTCCATACCAAATTTCAGGACCTTAGGCCCTAAAATGAAGAAGCTGAATCCATTTAAAAGATGGCAGGAGAAGGAGAAGAAACATCAGAAAAAGCAATATGGGTTCACCACCACTTCGTGGTGTGGTGAACCCATAATTAAACAGCAACCCATTCCGTTCACCGCCTTGCATTACACCTGCATCCCGATAGGCGACGCTATTTGGCCACGTCAGAGCAAACAACACAGACTGAGACTGAGAGGAAATGTCATAACTTCTTGTTCTGGGACATCCCTTCGGACGGAATCAGCGGTGGCAGCTCAACTTTGATATTCACAGGTGCCAATTTGTTGTGACTTTCTGCTTCTCAACATCTGTACCTGGAACAGGGAAAATAGGTCAAGATTTAACGGAGATATTATAAACGATCGAGTTGTCCTGACGCTGATCCTGACAGTAAATGTTAACGCTTATTCATTCATTTGGGCCATTGGCCCTCTTTCCCTCGTAACTTACAACATACTAACTACAGTTCAACATAATACTATCAATCTGCAACATGATGTGGACTCCGACCCTTCTTGCAGCCGTACGTAGTTGTTTAACAAAATGTGGACTGGAGAAACTGAGGTTTGTTGAACCCACAGTTGTGCCCCCCTCCCCCTTCGGTGAAGAGACAAAAAATCATGATTGTGATTATGTTGATTTTAATGGTCCTTTCGGAGCCAATTCCTACTGTGGCTGGGATACGATAGTACATAACCATACCATAGTATGGTTATATGGCCTTATATGGTACAAAAGCAACTGTGTCGAATATAATACCTTTTTTCGGTAGATTAGAAGCTGCATAACTCCACATCCAATACAAAATCAGGTGCCAAAATAGCAGGTTGAAGGTTTAGCATATGGAGTGGAGGGGAAACTAGCTCACTAGTTTATGGTTTCATGCCATTGAAGAATTGCCTTTTTTAAAAATTTTTCCAGAAAGGACAAGGAATCAGTGGTAACTCAGGGGACAACCCAGAACACCAGACATGTCAGCTGGACAACCAAGGCAGCCCAGATACAGTAGGTGTTCCCATAAAACTTTTAAAAGTAAAGCCTCTGTCACACATTAAGCTGAGGCCGCACCAGTTTAACTTGTTGGTTCTCGGATGTGCCTCTTCATTTTTTCGGATTTGCAAAAAGAAAAAGATTCTGGTTCTGAATCAATTCAAAAGTGCTCATATTTTGCCCTCAACAGTTGGGGAAAGTCCTTTCTTCCTAGTTGTTACAGTTTCTCCATCTATCAATACAGTGGTATTGGTAGTGATTTAAAGTTCAATATTCATATATTGTTTATCTACGAGTATTGTGTTAAAAATATTAACCCAGCCTTTTGTGTTGACTTCATGGCTCCTATCGTAGCATTTGGGGCTATAATAGGATGCCTAGACCTGTTTTTATTTTTTTCCGCCCTGTCGCTTTTTTTTTTTAAATCTGAGAACCAACAAATTAAATTGGAGTGGCCTGAATATGGCTTACAGTGGGTCAGAAGCAAGGTCGGCTGTGGTTAGCTCCAGGTGTTCGGCCAGGTCGGCTACTGTTCGGTTGCGTCTGAGCCAAATAGGCAAATGTTTCAATACAATCAAAATTTGTATATTGTTATATTTCAGTCCATACCATGGTATGGATGAAATATATTGTGTTCCCTCATGTTTCTCCTCCTCCTTCTCCTTCTCCTCCTCCTGCCAAACAGTCAAAGGGATTCAACTCAGCCATCATTCAGCCAAATGACCTGAAATTTGGCATGGAGGTAGGGTGGGCAAATACCCCCAGACGTTTTTTTCATTTTTTTTATACATGCCTTTGAAAAATTTTTATGAAGGTTTTTTGGGGCATTTTTCGAAAAAAAATGGATTTTTGGATCCTGAGCCCTGGTATTACAACCAAATGATCTGAAATTCGGTATAAAGGTACCTTGAACATGTGTCTACAGAATAGTAGTCACAATGTCACATATTTGGCATACACCACTTCCAAACTACTCATTTGGGGGACTTAAATGGCTATTTTCAGCAAAAAAAGGGCCAAAAGTGCTGTACCCGTTCCATGTTCTATCTAAAGAATGGCCGGTTCCATCCACGGAACACGTGTTCCATTGCGGGTTACCTGAGGTCACATTGCACCTAAGTGGTGCGTAATGACCCACAAATTCAATTTTATGTGCCTAAGACCTTCAAAATGTATCAAATCTCATCATTGTTAGTTTTTGCATACCTGTAATAAGATTAGTAAAGCTTTCGAGATTCAAAGTACTTGTTGTTGCATCTTTGTTCTCATATAGCTACTATATAATTCATTTATTTGAGAACCTTTGCCAGTTTTGCACTGGGGTAAGTTTGAAATAGTCCACTTTTGCGTGGGAGGGAGATGGACTGAAATATGCTGTATTTGCTCCCAAGCAAATGTCGGCCTTTCTAGTTAGTCAGTGTATTCACTACAAGACCTTACAGAAACAACTTATTTCTAAACAGTAGCCACAATTTTCCAATTTCACTCCTATTAGTTTGTTTCTGAGCAATTCTAAACACTTGAAATCATGATAAAATGTGCTAAGAAATTGCAGTAAACATCAATATCAGACAGATTTCTTGATCATATTTTCTGCATCATATTTTTGTTTTGCTAAAATTGCATTGGATGCCTTTTAAGTTGAACATACAAGTTGACACAGTGACTAGATTTTTGCTCTGTATTTTTGCCAGATTTTGGGCTGCTGGAGACCCCAAGTACAGGGCTGTCCAGTGGTGCGGTGCCTGCTTCAACTACAACTGTCGGGCAGCAGACCAGTACATCCATGGGCAGCTCTCGGAGCAGTACGGAGGGGCCTTCCTCTGGGCGCTACAGGGGGACCTCGGTGACAGCATCTTCTACGTTTGGTGCTACACCACGGTATGGGCTCTGAGGGTCAGCATGGGGGGATCCTGGCAATGCTTCAACAGGGCTAATATCGGGCAATATAATACTCAATGGTGATTCGTTGAAGAGGTTCATCAGTCATTTAGTAGTAGAAAATTCTTCAATCTGTTGTAAGGTAGACGTGATTTATCTTAGGCAAGTTTGACTGTACATCTCTACATTCTAGCACCAGTAAGAGAGCTCCTGCCGCTCAACCAGGCACTGCTCGAAGCTTCGGGTCCACCTCCAGTTCCCACCGTACCCCGGGATCAAGAAGGACCCCCCACAGTGTCACAGGAGCGTCCAGTGCCACCCCAGGAGTTCCCCTTACTGCTAACATCATCGGTGAGTTAACCCGTGTGGGGGCGTGTGGCGTAACAGTAGTCAGGGCTCGAAATTAAAGGTGGTCCAATGGCCACTGACCACTAAAATTTAAGCTTGGACAACTAAAAAGACACTTAGGGACATTTTTGGGACAATAAAAAAATACTCAACATCGGAATGTCAGACCTTTTTTTGTTTA